AATAATATATATATATATATATATATATATATATTATTTTGTTGTATATATATATATATATATATATTTGTGTGTGTGTGTATATATATATAGGTCACCATACATACAGTACAGTAGCAACAAGCATCGTAACGTAAAAGGACACGGAATGGACAGATAGCAGGGTGAGGGAGGGCACGCTATCTCACACGGCGCGCTATCTCACACGTTGCGCTATCTCACACGTCGCGCTATCTCACACGTCGCGCTATCTCACACGTTGAGCTATCTCACACGTCGCGCTATCTCGCACGTCGCGCTATCTCGCACGTCGCGCTATCTCGCACGTCGCTCTATCTCACACGTCGCTCTATCTCACACGTCGCTCTATCTCACACGTCGCTCTATCTCACACGTCGCGCTATCTCACACGTCGCTCTATCTCACACGCCGCGCTATCTCACACGGCGCGCTATCTCAAACGCCGCGCTATCTCACACGCCGCGCTATCTCACACGTCGCTCTATCTCACACGTCGCTCTATCTCACACGCCGCTCTATCTCACACGTCGCGCTATCTCACCCGCTGTGAGAACATGTCGTGGACGGTGTCGAGCTGGTTGCGGTGCACGTCGGTGACGTAGATGGAGCCGACGTCCATGTCCAGCAGCCGGTCGATCAGCACTCTGCCTGCAGCAGCAGCGGCAACAACAAACAATCACCCGCAGATCTAACACACTGTCAATGCGTACAGTCACTATATACACAGGTATTACATATACATATATATCAGGAGTAGATAATAGGGAGGAGTGTGACATCAATAAACAAGGGAAATTCGTCATTTACTTAGCCTATACTAATAACTACGATTTACTACGCGTTAACTCATGACCACTTGCAGCTCAAATCCGAACAGTACATCGCGCATAGCATCGTGGGAAATCGTTTCCCTCGTAGACACCGCTTCCCGCAATCGCGGAATATCACCTAAACACGTACGACACGATTCTCCATTCTTGGCCATCAATCCAGCCCATTGCGCGCACTATAATCAGACAAAAGCAGCTACCTAAACGCCGCTATTGGCTAACTGAGCAAGGCATGTGGCTGCTGGAGATTAGGCATCAACACTCGGCGAGGATAAACCTTTGACCCGGTACACAGCTACACAGGCCGAGCCTTTGTACATTAGCTGCATGGCCTTCACGCACGTAGCACGCCAACGCATGATTAGCTTGCGTCGAGTGTTGCGTCGATCTCCAATCTGCCACCCGCGAGCCACAACGCCCACATTCAGCTATCCGAGAGGAGCAAACACAAGTGACTGCGCGGGCAGTGTTGCTGCCCTTTGTCTGATTATAGGCGCGCAATGGGCTGGATTGATGAAAGAATGGCGATGTCCGTCGTACGTTTTAGGCTGTATCTCCGGATTGCGGGTTCTCGCGAGGAAACGACTTGCACGATGTTGGCGATTGTACTGTGTCCGATTTGACTCATTGATAGTTACGCGCTAGTAAATCGTTAGTATTTAAGGCTAGAATGACGAATGTCCATGTTAATTGATGTCACACTCCTCCCTTATTATCTACTCCTGATTATATATATAATATATATATATATATATTATATATCATATACTTATATATAGTATTTATTATAATATATAATTTAGTATATATATGTATAATAGTCCATCATGTATACAGTCCCTATACAATACTGTCATTATCGTATATATTTTATTATTATACTATAGTATATATAGAATATATATTATAGTTTACGTTACCAGTATACACAGACTATATACCCATCATATCACCATCACGTATGTGAGCAAGAGTCATAATAGAGATATATAATTACTTTGATTAGCATAATAGTAGCATAATAGAGAGATGTCTATTAATGTACTCTTTGCTAATGTATAGCACATCCGGCAGCAACAAACAAACCGTTAGGCAACGACTTGATTGGTTACCGTTATTCCGTCGCCACGCCCGGAGATGTAACCACATAAGGTTAACGCGTAGATATACACACACAGTCCACTACACACATATGCCAGTCCCCATATATATAAATCTAATTCTATAATGACTTCTATCTAAACAATCTATATATACATCTAGGTATACATAAAATATATATATATATATATATTGATTATATATTATATATACAGTCAGCCACGCACGCAGCACGCACAGGTGCACCGCAGCACGAACACACACACACACGCACCACGGCACACGTGGTCGCGGTGTATTTACCGACGTTGCCGGCACCCTGCACGGCGATGCTCTTCCCCTCCAGCGTTCCCATCCCCATGAAGTCCAGCGCCCCCTCCATCGCTCGCACGACGCCTGCAAACAAACACAAGAACAGGTCTTGACAGCTCTTGACAACGTAACACGTGTCGTGCCACGGCAATGCAGCAGCACGATACAACGCTGTAAACAACAATAACAAAGTAATGCAAATAACAACAGGATATTTAAAGTCACCGCAAAAAGCAGCACCTGTGCCCACACGCCAGTGCTCACAGCATGTGGCCTGGCTAGAGCGGCATTGATTGATGTACAGGGGAGGTGCACCATTGTTTAAGCCACGTGGGGCATGTTCATTACTTAATATGTGGGGGTGCACAACACTGGGATGAGAGAGCGACAGCAAAGCTCTCCTTGTATTGAGAAAAAATCTGCAATCGGGAATGACAGACATTTATGAGCGTGCCAGCATTAAATAAATAAATGAAATAAACATTGCGTGAATTTCATGTTCATGAGACAGTGAATCTAACCTGCACCAAACATAAGCAAGTATAATACTGTTACATAGCTTTTACAATATCGTATTAAAAAAAATTAGTGTATTAATATCATATATGATATATTTCAATATCTGGTGGCCGCGATCAATAACATTCAACCGATTATCTTCGATCATCGATCGGTTGGGCGAAACCGATGATCGATAATGAAATTCTGACCGATTCCCATCACTAGCGCTCACTCACCGCTCGCCGTGTGTTCGGACGGGTTCCCGCATCCCCCGAGGTCCTCGGACACACCGGATACGTACCGCGTGCGCGAGTGAACGTTGTTCAGGTCGACGAGGTTCACGCCAATGTCCTCGCACGCGACTGTAAACAACATAGAGTACATGTTAATAGATAGTATGTAGATACATCGAGAAATGGGGAGAGCGAAAGAGAGAGGGTGAAGGAGAGAGAGAGGGGGGAGAGAGATAGAGAGAGAGAGATAGAGAGAGAGAGAGAGAGAGATAGAGAGAGAGAGAGAGAGAGAGATAGAGAGAGAGAGAGATAGAGAGAGAGAGAGAGAGCAAGAGAGGGGGAGAGAGAGCGAGAG